GTTGTGTAAATGAGTGGTTTTAGGACTTGAGCAGTTGCAATGAAATTTAGAAGCTTAAAAATGACATTTTTGTGTAATGAGAAACTGAACTGAGGCAGGAAAATAGACATTGGCTTGAGGAGATCCATTTGCAGGAAAACAACTCCAGTTCCTGACATTCAGCAAGTGCTGGATGTGTCTCCTAATTAGCAAAACCAGACTTCTTCCTCACATAATGATGTGAAAGGAAAAAAATAGGTAAACCCCCACTTCTTTACAATAAATATAAATAATGCCTTTGAATACAAAGTAAAGCATACAGTTGTATTCTAATGATAAACATCATAAACACTTCAGCACTAGATTTGTGCAACAGCCTCTCATAAATGTCTCCTAAAAATCAAACCACGTTGCTCAGGACTTGTAATTCTGATCGTGTGTGGTGAGGGAAACTTTCCACAAACATTGAATTTTTGTCCTGAATGAGAATGTGCCTAATGGGTCATCGATTTGTGCCGGATGACAGTTGTTATTTCAGATAAATACTGCTATTTCTCATTCCCTGTGCCTTCAAGCTGATGCTGCCCCTTTAATTCCTGCTCGTTCTCTCGGGACGAGGAATACAGAGCTAGATCCAGCAGACCTCATTTTGGCAGAACTCCCACTGAAGTCAGGGAGGGTTTTGTGAAAGTAAGGCCAGTGTGGTTTGTCTCAGCTCCTGCTGCTGATGTGGAACAAGTTTGCTGCCCTCTCAAGGTGCAGAGCTCCTCACCGAGCGTGACATCGCCCCAGCGACTGTCTCAGGGCTGCAAACCCTCAGGACAGTCAGTGTCCTGGTGGAAAACGTCCTTTTCACCCCCTGACCTTGGGATAACACGGATTGCCTTGGGAGCCTGGAGACTGCCACTGTCAGAGTAATGCTACAGACACACAGAGGGTTTGGGGAACTCGTTTTACATTCATGCTGGGAATTTAAAGAACTCTTTAAACAAGCTGGAAATAGGTCAAGTGTTGATTGTAAGAAAACAACTACCCACTTGGGTGTTACCAGACAGGTGGGACCTTGCGATAAAGCTGTTGATTGGTGTAATACTTCCTCACTGGAACCTGGCACGGCCATGAGGATGTCAGTTCTTTCTCCAGTACAGACTGCACTGTGGAAAGGCAGCCAAAGAGTTAACAGTGTTCCCTCGGCAGGAACCTGCTGCTGTGAGTGATAACACAGGGCACACGGTCTTTTTTTTTTTTCACTGAAGTCTGAGCAAACAGGGTCAGAGAGAGAACCCTAATCCACAAGCATCAGTGCTCTCCTCATCCCCACACGAGGTCACGGAGTAACACTCTGCCGTGCCGTGACCTTTCTCCCACAGGGACACCTTTCAGGTGACACCACTTCAGCCTGTGTCTTTCAGTCAACCACCTTTTTGCCTTCATGTGGGAGCTGACTCCAGGCTGGCCAAACACTGCCAGAGGTGATTCAGGAATTGGACTGACTCTGCCAAATTGCTCTGCATCGATGGCTCCCTGGGGACAGCCACCAGGTAGTAAGCAGTGAGCTTTCAGCCACTCTTCTGGGCCAGGCATGAAATTGTGATCCAAGGAGAAGCAGCTCTGAACTGCATTTCCAGTTCCTGAACCAGCGAGTCCCTCAGAGAACAGATTCCATATTAGTTACTGGGTACTACACTATCTATGCTCATTAACCACAACATCCACCTCGTGAGGACGTTTCTAGGCACTGAACTGCTGCTAAAAACTTCTGCTGCACTGTGTTTTGCAATAGTGAGCAGCATCACACTGTAGGGAAGTCTTACCGAGAAAGCTTTGGAAACTGGGATATTTAAACAGAATAGACACAATAGCAAGGCCTAACTTTTATGATCATGGGCAACTACTGACTTCATGAGTAGTAATACCAATGTGAGCAAAGAGATAGAAGTAATCCTAGACTTGAGTTAGTTATGGAAGTCTGAGAACATTTATTTTAGTTATTAGAGTTCAAATGGAAGTAAAATGGCACCACTAACATAAACCAAACAATCTGCTGCCCAGATGGCAAATGGCTGCTCCCACAACATGGTGGAGGTGCTGTTTCCTCATGCCTCTGTCTAATGGCTGGAAATACTTCATCTCTCAGGTCCGTGTAGAACTTGCCTGCAGCTCCAAGGACAGCTGAAATCAACAGGACTAAATCACCCAAACTGCAGAACATTACAGTGGGTTTAGAGCTGTGATGCTTCCTCATCCAGTTTTGGGTAGGGATAAGGAGTAGCTTTGGAAGCAAAGTGAGATGTTGCTCATGTGACTGCTTGGATCAGTGCTCCAGCTGGGAGAAATCTGGTAAGTGCTGCAGACCTGAATTTATCTACACACATTTTTTGTTTGTTTGGACCATCCCAAGGGAAAGACAGACATTGTTGTGCCATGTGGGATGTTTAATCTCATTAACCAGCCAGGCTATTAGTAATAACAAAATTTAAAAAATTACAAGTTAGCTTTTTGTTGCAAGATAGTAAGTAAAGATAAAGCTGTGAAATTCAAATATTTTTGAACACTCCCATTAAATCCTGAGCTAGGTGGAAAAGGCAGTGAACAGAATCCATTAAAGATGCATCTATTAAATGTCCACTTGTATGAAAAGCTAAAAATAGCATTTGAGTTCTTCCAATTTTCTTTTTGTAACAGTTACTGTGATTTTTCTGCTTCATCTCAGAAAGCCATTTTGCTGCTGCTGCTGCAGTGTATAATCTCTGTGCTCTTTCTTGATGCAGCACAAGTGACAGAGCACTAATCAGACCAGAACAACAATCACGTCATCTTTGAGTATCCAGCAATAAACTGTTTTTACAAGGAAGAAAAAGGAACTATTTTTAGGGTAACTCTGAACGGAAACTCTGAAAATTATTGTACTCACTCTTCCTCCACATCATTGCTCTGAATTTCCAAGGCATTGCTTTGTCCTGGGCAGGAGGCTAATGCCTGTCACACATCTTTGTGTAAATGCTCCAGTCAAATAGGATTTCTAAGGCCTGGTTAAAAGTTTTGACTTGCAGTCTATGAAATCTCTTTTCTCGCTGCCCTGTCTAGTGACTCATAGCTGCTTGTCTGTGTTCTTTTACTATTGCTGTCATGTCTCAGCAAATCCTTCTGTTAGAAGTCCAGGAATGGGACAGCTCAGCAGCCTGAGGAGCAGTGCAGGGTGTGTGTGGACACTGGCACAGGGCAGGCAGGCAGAAAGCACACCGGTGTCTCTGGAGATGGCTGTGCCCACACCATACAGCCTGCATGTGTCTCTCCCCGAGCTCCTCCTCCCAGATCACTGTGGCCTCCCTTCCCTGCCTCACTGGAGCCCATTCTCCTGCAGCAATCAGCTCATGGAAGCAGTGGGTGGTGGCACAGCACAGTGTCCCCACCCCAGCCAGCTCTACCTGTGCCTGTGCCTTCCACACTGTGCCTAGGGGACTGTGCTGCTTCTCCTTGTTCTGGGCAGGACCAGGTGAAGCTGTTGAGAAAGACTATCTCCAGCTATTCAGCAGCATGGGAGGTTAAGGATGTCCTAGGATCTATGGATCTGAACCCACTCCTCACACTTAAGCTGCAGTGTGAACTCTTTGGGGACATCTAAAATAGATGTCATTAAATGACCCATTCAAACCTCTATTTCCTGTGGCCCAGCCACTAACACTTTCCATCTTTCACCTAAGACATGTAAAAAAGAATACCACAGTCAAAATACACTCACCAGCTTTTATTTCAGTTCTGTTAACAAATATATTTAATGCAAAGACAAACTAGGAACCCTATAATTACCATACTCTCTCTGGATATAGAAACCAGTAGAAAATTTCATAGTTAAGTATATCAAAGAAAGCAAAATTTTTCTTTTTATGTCCTGAAAAGAGATTCTAATTCTACTTCATGCAGGAAAAACTAAAAAAAAAAACCCCACCAACCTATCTAGAAATGCAGCAAGCCAAGAAACCAAGGGAGAACAGCAGGACCTCTGGTCCCACAGAGTTATCTCTCTGCTGCTGCTCTGTGACTGCAGCCAAGCGATGCTCATCCAGAATGGTGACACGTGAGGGACAGTTTCAAGCCTCACCTACATTCCTGTGGCTCCGGGTCAGCCCTGGGTCTTGTGATGCAACTCTGAGGGCACTGAGAGTTGCCTGTGGCTCAGATGTCAGAGCTGCACCACAGACCAGCAAGGCCTGGCTGTCTGTCCCACACACCCTTACAGATCCAAGAACCTCTGGGCCATTATCTACATCCGCCGAGAACCTCCGTCCCTGGGAAGACCCTTTTTGGGTCTGTAATCCCTTTGGAACCACAGACAAAACAACTCAAACCATCCTCCCTGGAGAAAGCTTTAGTTGACCTCAGTTTATGTTTTCACAGAGGCAACTCGATGCAAGAAAAATAATTCTGTGAAAATCAACAAAAAGATAATGGAAAAATTTCAGAATCCAAGTAATTGTTCTCCAAACCAACTCCTGACGCTGCAGCACTGAACTGTCTCCTGGAACCACAATCAGCTTAACTCAACCGTGCAAGGAAAGAACGAGCAGGAGTGTGCAGGCCAGGGCTGAGCCGCTCCGGGCGACGCAGCTCTGCTCCTGCAGTCACACTGGGTGGGTAAGGACAATAGGGAAGGACAGGGCCAAGCCAGGAGGGCCACAGTTATACAACATCAAGCCCCAGGCCTTGCAAAAATGTAACCTTAGCACTAGGGAATAAGGAGCAGAGCAATTAAGCAGGCTTTCTGTGACCCTGGAGAAGGATCTGTTTCCCTTTGATCTCTGAAAGATGTGTGCCATTCCCAGCCTCAAAGAACACGGGTTTACCTCGCGCTTCCCCCAGTGCAGCTCTCCCAACACACCTTCCAATTCTGTCACTGAAAGAATGGTGGAAAAGCTCCACAGAGCTGGACGAAACTTGCAGAATCGGTGAAAGTAACAGTAATCGCTGAGAGTTTTCCATTAAGAAGCCACCACAGTCCTCAGGTATCAAGAAGGAAGAATTCATAGCACAAGCCTATCTTTACCTCCTTCCTGAATGACCTGACCAATGGCTGTTTGGTTTTGTTGTTTCAGAAAACATTCTCTCTTGCATTCCATTAACTGCTCAAAGTCCTGCCACATTTTCATCTGGTTCATATTTGGCCCATGACTTTCCCGCACAACCTTCTGCTTCTCTCGTAATTTCTGTGAAAAATACAAACACGTTACATTTCTGGAGCAGTTCTACGCCACAATTGCTCACATAGGCAGCTTGAAGTGACAGAGACTTTTATATGCTACTGAGATATTATTTTGTGCAAGTTGATAACATTCCCTTCAAGTGCTACCTGCATTAACACCTGGGACTGAGATCTTGTATGGACTGATAATTATTTCAATGTTTTTAACTGTCTAAATATTAGTCTTATCTATTTGAGAAGTTACGCTGAAAATCTGAGAGCATTTCCATACAGAGCTCTCACACTATCAGGTTACAACCTGCAGTGGGTTCATAGAATGCCATTACAATGTGAAATCAGTGGTTTACAATGAAACCCTCTACTGATTATTACCAGTGGCAGCCCAAACCTGTACAAATCATGCAGCGTGACTCAGAAAAGGAAATTAATCAAAGATGTTTGGTGTGACTTGGTAAGCAAAGGCTCATGAATGCTGATCTGAGCTTCAGACAAGGTTAAACCTGGACAACTGCTTTTGTCGGATGCTGTGTTGACAGGCTTGAAATTTATTGTCTTCAACAGGTTGCTTTATATACAACAGAAAATCTGAGCTGGCACAGTGTGTGATGCCCATCTTTCAGTTTCTTATCCAAATGGTGTTCAGGGAATGTGCTGTCACATTGAGCTGGGTGACTATCTTTCACAGCAGCTCATGCTATTCTCTGCAGGAAATCCAGCCCCGAGGAGCGAGCAGGATCCCTTTCCAGGGTATCAGTTACCAATGCTAGCAGTGATGGAATTTTCTTTGTGGGCTGCAATATGCTTTTGTAAAAAGACTGACCAGAGCTTTTGGGAATAAACTCCCCAAACTATGAACTGTGCGATGTTTATATGAGGTAAAAGCCTTATTCTTACCTTCCCAAGGTTTTCTTGTTCAAGGATAATCCGTGTATACTGTTCTCTAAAGGAAAGATAAAATGATCTTACCATGACTTGGTTCTATGTAACAGGACAGAATGACGATGGAAAATGATGGAAGTATTGGGAGGTTCATAAATGAGACAGAAGAGGAAACCTTTTCGTATTGGACAACACATCCCTTGACATCAAGGATCAGTCCTTGTCTCAGCTGCACAGCTGAGAAAAGTGACACTGGATAAGATCTCTTACACTTTTGAAGCAGGTTTGATTGCTGCTCCTTCCAGCTCGAGGGCAACAGCAAGATCATTCAGGTAACGTACACCTGATTCCGTTTTATACTGCCTTTATCCTGGGGATATTCCCTAGCCACGGCCTCGCCTGCACAAGCATCAGAGTTTACAGACCCACAGCCCCTAACTGCTGGGAATGCAGTGCTGGAATGAGTGGGAAAGTACAGGAATGAGGGGGAATAGTATTTCACTCCGGGTCTGACAAGTGCAGTGACTGCAATGGCATTGCTGTGCGTTCCTCTCTCAAAAAACAGTCACAGTCACATTCAGGGACCTAAATATAGGCCCAGAAGCTGTTGACATTCGTTATTAAAAGTCTTGGCTGTACACCTTTGTCTGTAACAAGTGGTTGGATCACTCTGACATACCCAAACCTGACACATGAATCCTGACAATGGACTATGCTAAGCACAACAGCACAGCTCAGATACAGCACTAGGAATGACCTGAAAGGTTTTTTTGAAATGTGACAATAGAAAAACTATTCACTGAGTCACTTAAAAATTCAGTTATATTTTTGTGCAATTATTACATTTTTTGCGTGAGAGTTTGCTAATGGAATTCAAAATAACCAAGCTCGTCCAAGGGACTTTCCAAATTGCTCAGGGTAGAAGACCTCGGCGTAGAGAAATCCTAATTTCCAGGAAGAAATGCCAGCCTTGGTGTAGAGAACTCCTAATTTCCAGGAAGAAATGCCAGCCTTCATCACACTGTTAGAATTCCAGAGTGTGGAGGTTTGCTGGAGTGTGGTAAGTAGCTGTGTGGACACAAGGCATCATGTTTCTTTATTCCTTCCCTTCCTACCAAGTACTCCAGGATTTTGCTGGAGCACTTGGGCCCACAGCCAGCTGGTCTTGCCTGCCACACTCCCTGCAGGTTGGACGTGCAGGGAATGAAGCTGGATCCCTTTGTGATGCCTCACGCTTGGCTAACTCCAGGCAGACCAAAGCAGAGCTGCCCTGAGGCTGCCCCAGGTGCTGTGCTGCCCTGCTGATCCCCAGCAATCCTCACCCAGGCCCAGACAGAGCCATGCTGGATCTGCCTATTTCCCTGGCACACAGCACATGTTCTCACACATTTGGCCTCACCAACACCCTTTTCATTTTCAAGCAGAGTTTTCAGAGCAATCATCAGATCTGATGTCTTCCCTAGTAGATTTGATGTCTTTCCTAGTAAGTTTTTCTTTAGTACTTACAGTGATGACTGGAAAGAATGTAATTTCATAACTTCGTTAAAAACCCCACAACTTTCTATTTTCAGAGGAGAAAATTAACTTTTCACATTCCTAACAAGTGACTCCACAGAACAGTTTATATTCAGTAAAGAAGGTCTGAATTGAGACATTTTTTGTTCAATACATCGTTAGCAAAGTGCTGTTCTATTTATAATTCATTTTTACTCTGTTTACATTCCTGTGCCTGCTGAAAAATACCTTCAGGTTCTAAGGTGATGTCTAGAGACAAATGTCCCTGTCTTTTGTTTTATATTTTGCAAGGATCTCTCTATTGAGCTTTGTTGTAATTCATTTAAATGAGAGGTCTGAGACCTCTTACAAAGCTCAGAACTGTGTATAGTCCTGGTGAGAGGATAATTTCCACAGCTGAAAGTGAAACGGGGACAGCGCAGAGAGGATAACGCTCTGTTCACACTCCCCCCAGTACCTGGGCTTACAGAGCTGGGCTCACACCCCAGCCCAGCACTGGGCTCTGATGGCTGGTCCCTGCACTCACATCCTGCATGTTCATTTCCCAAGTATTTGAGTGGAACAACTCCCAGCAGGGCCGTGCCTGCTGCCTGCCCGTGCTGCCTCGGCTGCTTGGCTGAGCTGTTCTTCATCCTCATGAACACTCACATCATCACTAAGGTTTTGCTCTTTTCATCCTTCTGCTTCATTTTGCTATTTCATCATCCTTCATTAGAGAAATTTTATTTCCTACAGCCTCCCATTATTGTGTCAGAAGGAGTAAGTGGCTTCTTAGTCTTCACTCACATTCTCTCTGCTCGTCCTTTTCTTCTCCCACCCGATACCTTAGTAGTTTTTATTCTTTTCTTACTCTACCTTTCCTACACTGTTTACTACACTGTGTTTGAACGTTCTCATGTCTCAGATCCTTGCAGAAGGTCTCTGTGATGACATTAATCTGGTCCTTCACTTCCCAGTGATCTCTGCCTCACGTTCTAGAACATGGAGATGCAGCTCCACTGGTACCAATGCTTCAGGACAACTTCTGGCTCAGGAAGGATCTGATGGAGGAAGAACACTTCGTCTCTCAGTGTCTCCTGAGGGAATCCCTGGAGTTTTATCACTGTTTGATGCATCTCTATCCCTGTCAATGGCCCCATTCCAGAGCCTGTAAAATTTTAGTGGTCAATTACTGCTTTTCTTCACTTCACGAGTGAAGAAATTGCCTCCGATGGTCCTGAATGACATTTGATTCTGTACACTAACATGTTATGGTGCTTCCCTTGCTGCCACCACTGCAACAGAAAGGTCCAGAAGTTATTCTGAAAGGTAAAAGTCCTAAAAGGACAGAAATCTTGGGAAAGTAATTTATTCTTCCATCTCCTTTGAGACATGCCAGGCAACTACTGGTTCCCACTGGATAGCCTGAAGCATTCAAGTGGAATGCAGAATGATTATTAATTATCTAATTAAGCAGCTCCATCTTTGCTTTGCCACTTGGTCTTGCTTTCACACTGTTCTGTGAATGGGACAATTCTGTGCAGCATTTGGGCACATTGTACAGAAGTCTGTGGGAGAGCCAGAGCTCTGACACGACAGGCGACCCCAGTCCGAGCCACAGCCTGTCCTGTCACTGAGCACAAAGGGCAGAGAGGAGAAGAGGCCTCACAGCAAGGAATTATGTGGCTTTTCAAAGTGCAAGCAATAAAGCAACCTGTAGGAGTGCTGGTATGAGGCAGAGCTGATGCTCCTCTGCACTGAACTAAAAACGAGATCCTCTGTGTGGATTCCTTGGCACAGCAATGATCACACATCTGCAAGGAGATCCAATCCTGCCCTTGAGACTTCAGACTGTTTTTCACTCATTCCAGTCATTAAAAAATAAACCAAAAAAACCCTTCATCAAATCAAGCAAACATGAATTTTAAAACTACTGTTTAGTTTTAAATATTTTCATGACTGAGAAATACTGACTAGTGACACCCATTTCAGCCTGATTATTTTGTTGACAGCTTGGACCTAGGGTTTATTTTTATTCTGGAAAACAGAATTTCTACTTCAAGCAAAATCCTGGAATTTTGAAAAACTGATTATGAAGAATAAACTCTCAGGTATTGTGACACTTTCGACAAATTAAAGTTTTAAATTTGGATTTTCCTGCTGCTTAATTCTGATGGGGCTGAAACAATCTGCTCACTTTTGCCTGAATGTTGTATTGGAAGACCTAATAATAAATTACACAAATTTTAAACATGATACTTTTACAAAACTATTTACTAAAGTGTAATATATCTCTATGACATGGTAACATTTAGACTTCTTAGCACAGATAATAAATGCAAAATATCTCATTCTCAGAAAACATTTCCCTCATAATATCTGGTAGGGCCTCACTTCCTGCAGGACCCAGCTGAGGCAGCACGTGCCAACAGGGGCTGCCAGTTAAACCCCTCTGCAGGGCCTGGAATCTCCAGTGGGAAGTGAGAATCTTCTGGCATGTCTCAGAGAACCTGTAGGTTTACAGCAGTATAGACTGGAATCTGAGATGCTTATTTTTAGGTTATTATAGTGTTTCTAAATTTATCGGGTAACTCCTCTGGTTCAAATGCCAGTGAGACAATTCCTAACTCCAGCCTCCATTTATGAAGATCCTTCAAGTTAGCTGAAGGGAGCAGAGTGATGCGCTCACCGAATCGCCTTCCGTCGCTCCTGTGGGTCTGGGGAGCCGTAAGCCTTCATCTCCTCCTCAGCACGCTGCAGCTGTACCTTCAGGTTCTAGAAAGAGCCACGTAATTGAAACACATATACATACAATAATTGTCATTTCATTTCACAATGAACAATCTCCCCCTCCTGTGACCTTACCCTCCTCATGCAGTTAATGTAACGGTAGGTGCTCTCTTCCTGAACACACTCCTCAAGAAGTCCTTTCACTTCCTGTGGGAGAAGAGGAACATTCCAAAGGACACTGTGACAGAAGCTCTCCAGGAGATGTGCCCTGCGCTGCCATATAAACCATGGGAATTTATAACAATAATACTGAATCGATAATTGTTCAAATGTTAAGATAATTTGGGCTTTTCAGAAGTCTCTTCTAAAAGTGAAAGACAACTGATTGGTTCTAGATTTGCAGTTTCAGTCACAGCTAGATATCCTAAACGACTGTTAATGGGTGATTATTAATGACTGACTTCCCAAATTCTGCCAAGACTCTTGTCCCTCAGCACACCTTAAGTACCAAGTACAGCTGTGAACAAGCATTTCCTGGAACACATCTGCAAAATATGTTAGAAGCTACAGACATGCTAATACTGTATTAATCAGCAATCGATAATTATGTGGAGGAGTATGGAGGTGGTAGGTTACTCCCTGCGGTCTCTGAACGGTTCATTCCAGAAAAATCCTAATAATCCAAATGGAATTCCTGTTCTCCAGGTTGCACAGCAGTTGTCATCTCCAAATCTCTGTCACTGTGTGTTCTTCAGACCATCAGACTGGATAACTGAATTCTACTGCTCAGCTCATGTCCAGCTCAAACAGTGGATGTGAGAGTCATCGTGCTAGAAAATGACTACGAGCTGTCTGCCAAGAGAAAAGGCCTTGACTGCTGTTGTACAATAGTTCTCATGGAAGGTCTACTTCATAGCAGGTTCATCTGTGGATTCTTCTAATTCTTCTAAGGTACTTCTAATGCAGGAAAATAACTATCTGTATTATCCACCCACACTTCAAATGTATTCCCTGTTATCCTGAAGTATATTCCTTTGTGGGCAAGGCCTTGCAAAACCAAGCCCAGTCAAAATTCACAGGTGACTGAGTGAGACAAAGCAGATTCATATAAACATATCACTACTGTCCCCACCTTGGAGGACAGTACATACCTCCTTCCCAAAAGTGCTGTAGTCAGGCTACACACAAAGCTCTTGGCTACACCTGTATGATTGCTTTTAAAACCCCTGTTGTATGCAGGAATACACAGACCCATCAGTGGACTCTCCTTGCCATCAGTGTCAGTCATTAATTATCCACTGCATTGGTTGCTAATGTAATGAACCTGCTAAATGCATATCAAGATTTGCCTTGATAAATTAATCCTTATTTTATAGTCAAATTCTTTCCTGACAGATACTACGTAGGGCAGCAGGATTTCTGGCATGTCCTTGCTAATCAAAGCTGGGTGAAGCACCCTGAGCCTCTCTGTTGCTGTTCAGCCCAGGAGCTGTGTCACTGTAGCCAGTCCACAGCACCTTCAGGCAAGATATGCAAAGCTGTGGATCACCATTGACTCAATTCCACCTGAAGTGGATTTCTGCTTTCCATATCCTCAGGGAAGGTGGGGAAAATATTGTATCTCACAGTGAAGAACACACTGCACAGCATTTATCCATGGGGGTGAGCAAGCTCCCACCTTACCTGTTCCAGGGCAGAGCGATTGCTCTCCAGCCCTGCTGCACAGCTGTCATACTGGATTTTCTTCTCCTCACATTCTTGAGTTAATTCCTTAGGTGAAAAGGACAAAAGGGCACATCAATGAAATCTCCCTTTGACTGACATGTGACACTGGGACAGTTCTCACTGGCCTCACACACCAGCCCCAACTCCTGGCACACACAGACACTCCATGAAGCTCATGGCTGTGGCTCCACACAGGGAGGCCACACCAGCTTCCCCACCCTGGGGGACCAGCTGGAGCACCACAGCAGAGCAGGAAACCTCAGGGCAGCCATCGACGGCTGTGCCATGGCAGGGGAACAGGAATGTGTTTGCCAGAAGAAAGGACAAATAATCATAACAACAGAGATTAAGACAGGATCGACACACTCCCTAGGAAGAGCCACATTTCTAGCAGTGCACAACCAGCTCCTTCTCTGTATTGCCTGTGCTGGCACTTGGAATGGAGCCATTAAAAGCAGGTTTTCTGGAAAATTCATTGATAGATAAATGGGTCACTCCTTCCCTTCCATGCCAATGAGCCAATTTATGGCAGCTGTAGACCCAAATGACTTTTTTCCAGCTCTCTGTAAAATTTTGGAAACAAATGGATAAATTTGTCAGCTGCACAGACGAATACAGGACTTTGATCAATGCATTCAACTATTTGGATGTTATGTGCAATCCATTCAGAAAGGAGAGTGTTAGTTGGGATCAGTAGTGCCAAGATGCAGAAATAGCTTTCGAACTGATCCAAAACTAACTTTGCTTTGAGGCTGAACTATGATTTTTAAACTTTTCCCCTGGTGTAGTAAGTTTTTAATTGCTATAAAGGGCAAACTTTTGTGCCTGCACTGTCAGCTTTTACCAGTTCCAACCTTTAGCATGTCGCCTGTTGCAAACCACTGTAAACCCATTGTGTTGTTCCCAGCTTTCCCACAGAGTTGGTGGGACAGTCCTTGTAGAGCACTAGAGAGAGCTGTAAATTAGACTTGCTTGTGGTTCTGACTTGATTGACAGAGAAAGAGAGGAGTGTTTTACCAACCTGGCACTTCTGCCGCAGCTGCCTCAGCTCTTTGATGACAGGGGCAAGGCTTGCCTTCTTCTCTGCCACCAGTGCATTCATTTTTTTTACCTGAGAAAGGGACAAAATAATAGTCACTGGTACTAAACAGTACATTAATGTAACTAGGAATGGGAAAAGAAAGACAAGTAAACCAAAAGATATAGAGAAAAATGTGTGATGAAGCCGTAACTCTGTAATGTAAGTTCAGTCCTAATTAAGACAGGGAAAGGCCCATCTGGCAGTGAGGTCATTCCCACAAATGAGACTAATCCACTGTTCCAACTCAGAACATCCCAGAGAAGTCCAGGAGACAGCCCTTGTGCCCAAAGAGCTTAAGGAGTAGGAGAAAGGAAGGAGCTGCTTAGAGGTGGACTGAGAGAAAGGAAGAAATCCTTAAGAAAACAAACAAAAAACCTGCACAGGTTTACATAAAGCTTGAAAATGCTAAAAATGAGCCACTTGGACATATTTGTACTGAAAATTTAAATTTCATCCAGCTCTGTATGTGAGAGTCGTGTTTTAATTATACCATTTTATTTTAAAAGTGCCCCAGTGATTTCAGAAAATGCTGTTTTATTTTTTGCTCTTTTAGAATATTTTCAAATTAGAAATTCAAGTTCTTGCTTCTGCAGCTATGTGGGAAGGTAAATGAAACCATGACAGATCTAAGGGCAATTGAAAATCAGGCTATAGAGACAAAGAGAAGCTCGTTAGCTCTTTTAGAATATTAAGTATCTTTAACTCCAGTGATCTGCAAACATTTTAAAAAGAGATTCTGTTACAGATTCAAACCATCCATCTCTTTCAAATAATGTGCAAGAACAAATATGAAATCACATCTGAAATCACAAAGAAGGAAAAAATCAAAGACAACAAGACTTCATATCCCTAATGTTTGTGAAGGGGATGAAATAAATATTTAATTGTAGGATTTATTGTTTTTTATAATCCTAAATTTCTTCTTAAAAGAAATGCACAATTTAGTAAGCTTTCCCAAGATTACCTTTGCAGATGTATCTGTTTGAAATTATTTATGCATATATATAAACACAGATGAAAGGAAACTTATAAACCCAAACAAAAATATTAAACTTATTTTTCTATGCTGAGGAACCAGATATTCAAACTGAGCAAATACAGTAGTTTAAGCTAGAAATCACCATTTCAGACATGTTATCCAGTGTCCTGCCTTTCATTTCATCCATTTCACTCTTCACTGCAGAAACCCTTTCCAGCTCCTCCTGGGTGTAACTGTATCCAGAAATGCCTTTTTTCTCTTCAGTCATTTGCTGCAGCCACAAACAATAAATGCTGAATGTGAGTCCTTGAACCAAGAAACAGCAGATTCCTTCATGGAGCCAAAACATTGTAAACAAGTGAAAAAGGTAAGTACTGTCATCGATTTATTTTATCAGTCAATTTATTATGATCCTTCTAGCTGCCAGAAAGACTATATTTTATCTCATGCCTGTACAGCAGGACAGTAACAACTCTGCTAGATACAGTTTTTGGTCATCCAGTGCCCACTGAAGTGAACAGAAAGTTGCAACAGAGTAAAGTGGGTTGGAGGTCAGGCTCTGGAGTAAAACCCATCTGCTTCATCAGAAGACCGAGCTAATGAACATTTTTAGTATTTTATAACAAGAATAGAGGTACTAGAAGAAAATACCACAGCAGTGTTCTTGCATTTGGGATGCAGATATCTTCCCAGCTGCTTAGCTATCCATAGCAGAACTGCTGCTGCTGCTGTCCTGGCTTAGCAAAGCATTCATCCAGTTTTATATTTAAGTGCATTTTCTTCTAAATACTCTGGGGCTAGAATGTTTCCTTCCTGCCTGCTCTTTTTTTAAGTACTATTCCTATCTTTTTCACAGCCGTAACTTGAATCTTCCTGACTGTTGCTTGTTTTCCAAGCCCTTACCCCATCTGTGGATACCAAACACTAACTCAGGAATCCAGCCTCGCTCTGACGGGACTTTGTGCAGATTTACCACTGACTTTAAAAAGCAGGGTCAAGCCCCTCAGTCTAAAAAGGAACTGCAGACAGCCCTGCCTGCCTTTAAGACACAGCTGCTGAACACAAAGTACAGCAGCTTCATAGTCAACAGATAAAAATACACTTTATGTCCTAATGACTCCAAGCAATGCCAGGGGAAGCTGAGGATGATATACATTAAGCAGCTTCCCTCTGATTCTGGGGCTGGTCTGGGGGAAGGGTGGCTGTGGGAGCAGCACGTGCTCATGTTACCAACTGCTGCTGAATGGCCTCGTGGCGCTGCTTCAGGAGCTCTTCTGTCCTCTGGAGGATTCCACACTCAGCTGTAATTTCTGCTATTTCCAGGCGCTTCTTTTTATAAGTTGTGTTCTTGCTCCGAAGCTTATTCACATATTGCTTAAACTGAGGGGAGAGAGAGCAGAAACTCAGTTAACTTCAAGCAGAGAAAGGCCTTATCACAGCCTGTTGCTGTATAAAATGTAATTATCCCCTGTGGCCTGCACACTGGCAGTGAAGTGTTTGCAACAGAGGAATTCAGGATTCCCAGGGTCTATTTATTCTCAGCTCTGCATTTGTTGCCCGAGTCAGATCAAGCAAACCAACTCCACTCCTTTCTGTCTCAGTTCACTCATTTGTCATCCTGAGATCACTCTGTTCTGCTCAGCACCATTTGACAGCTGGAAAAGTAAATACTCTTTGCAAAACGTTATGAGATTCATGGATAATAAAAAAGTTAATGCAAGAAAATTTGCACTTGTACCAGAGCCTCAGCTCAGCACTGCACAACCCCAGAGAGCTCTGCAGACCAACACACGGCAACAGAGGGCTGGAAAACTGGAAGGGAAGAGGACACGGGAAAAGATCTTTTCTTTTTGATATTCTCAACACTTAAAACTTGTTCTCTTTCCTTGGCTTCTGCAGACCTAAATGACAGCACTGGCCGTTTCTAACCCAGGGAAATAAAAGCAGAGTTCTTGCACAGAAGCAGAGCAATGCAATGTCTATTTCACTCAAAATCTAAAGTAATGGAGAATTTATATTTTTATTAAAGACTAAGTAAAACAATACAAATCCTTCCAGATCAACAGCCTTAGCTAATTTACACCTGAAGCTTTGTGTGTTCAATTTTTAACAAACACCAAGTACCAGGCGTGGAAACAAACAGGGAATATTTTTCTTTGCCTTCATGTTTTCCATCTGTCACACAGGCTTAGCTCTTGTTCTTGTATTTTACATGAGAGCTGTGAGGTAAATGCCAATGACAGCTCAAAGATGCATTCAGATCCAGAGATGCAAAGCAAATGAAATTTATATTAGAGTAAATGATGTAAGAAAGGCTCCAGAATGCTCCTTGATGAAGGGTTCAGTGTGTGCAGTGAGCACAAACCAGGCAGCCCGAGGAGAAAACAGGAGTTCCACTACCACTGACACAGGTTTAAAATTTAAAAATGAAAGAACTCAGATTTTGAAATTTACATTAATTTTTCTTCATGCAAAATTATCCCTCTCCCTTCTAAAGAATAAATCCAAAAACCCTAATGTGACCACAGGCTAAGAACCCCCAGAGTAACTGTATGTTCTATAAAAAGTGTCCTGGGCAAAGTGCCCAAAATGAAATCAACCCTGTTCATCTGCCATCCCCTGCGATTTCTAGGCCAAAGCTGCTTCTCTCTTGCTATGCTCCTAAACTATTTTTAAAGCCAAAAGCTATAAACGTTTTCAGTGAAAGAACAAACCCACAAATTACTCAATGTGCTCTATGCAGATTGGCCTTTGTGTGGCTTTGGGATAACATCTTACATCCTGCTACTACCTAGGCCAAGGATAGACAAGGTCACCTGAGCCCCAGCACCACGAGGCAGAGGCAGCTCTGCCCCTGCACTCAGCCACCAGAATCCATTCCTTCCACAGCAAATTCTAGCACAGCTTCCTAGTTAATAAAAATACTTCTGGTTTTTAAAATTGCTTAGATAATACCAAGTTTTCTGTGATTCCCAAGAGATTCCAAAAGCATAAATATAATCCCTGCGACGCACCGAGGCAAATCTAAGGGAAGCACAGTCTGTCTTGATCAAGTAATTACTGGGATATTTCATTTGACCAGTGGAATACGTAGGGAATGATGTAAAGGATTAAATTTAATTTGTGACCACACAGAGTTACAAATCTGAACAATCTTCTGTCAGTTTATCCCGGGATGAAAAGCAAACTCTTATTCTTTTCACTTCTGTAGCTACTTCTAAGGTCTTGAAAATAGCTCAAGTGGGAGGTAAAGTATTTGCATATTCAATATTCAAAGCATAATGTATTTTACAATGGAAGCCAAAGGATCTTGCTGATTAATGAACCGATTCCACCTATGTTCTATTATTAGTTGATTAAGTTAGGACAATGTAATACAAATCTCATCCAAAATGAACCACAGTGACAAGTGAAACCTGTTCATTTTAGGAGGTGGATGTCAGTCTTTCATCACAATCTCTGGGGTTTTAACAGCAAACGTAACCTTTCACACAGCTTTTATTGCAGCAAACAAGACAGAACAAAATATAAACAACTGTAGCAAAATTATAATAGCTGTAGAAAATCAATCAATAATTTGGCAGAGCTTTCAAGAGACCTGATCTACTCCAAAGGCAGCACAGATTAGTCCCTCAAAATCTCACTGACTGAAGGTTTGTTTAGATCCAGGGCCAAATTCTGAGCTGGAGTTCTTAGATTTGACTCCACTTAAATCAGCAGCTTGCAGGGATCTTACAGTAAAAATTAGGTTTCTTCAGCCTAGAAGCTGAGAATCATTCCAAAGGTTTCCAAAAATGGAAAGCAAGCTTCTTGAAAAACACCAGTGTTTTGGTTTGTGTGAGCTTTGCTTCTAAGGCTTGATACATCTCATGCCCCATCTCTGTGGAGGTAAAAAATCAAATCCCAAGGCTATAAGCTATTGCATTTCACTGTGGTAAAAGGTCTTTCAAATAATTTGAACAGTTCATGAAGGAATAACATTGTTTGGCCACATCATTTCAAAGTTAACTAACCAAAGGAATCCCTCTTTGAGCAGCAGCATTTTCCCATAGCCCAAGTCAGCTCCCTGTGTCCAAACTCAGCAGGCTCACCCTAGAGAATTCCCATGGATCTGCCTGTGCCCAGTGATGTACCAGTCAAGGCCTTGTCCACCTGTAGCTTTTCCTTCTCAAGCAACTTAATACAAACAGTTATTTTAAGCTTCAAAGATTAAATGACTGGACAAGAACCAAGTACTGTCACTGAGTGAGCAGCTGAAGCAGACCAGCCTGAAGCCCTGTTTGCTGGCCCAGCCAGAGCCCCCAGGGATATAAAACCATCCAAATGAAAGCAAGGAAAGATTCTGCTCTTTCACTTGGCTATTTCTATGGGTGACTGTAACATAACAAGTGTGGAATCCAGATGAAATGAATGAAAACAGGACTTGGTCTCTCATATAATGTCCCACAGCATAAATATATCCACCAGCTCTGGGCAGATTTCCCGTATTATGTTCCCTTTTTATTGGAAGAATCCAGTAATGCTCCTGCTTTATGCTTCTCCATTTATTAGGATCTGAAAGAGATTGGTATCACCAGATTCAGTCTCACCACACTTGGGGGAGTAATGAAATATTATGACAGCTCCAAATATGACCAGATCGCATCAGGAATGTTGAAATTGCTCCTCTAGGACCAGCCAGGTTACCTCTCTCTAGGAAAGGACATCAGCCTGGGGACCACATGCCTTAGTGGGCAGAACTGGGAGCAGAGCCAAGCCCCTCTAATGCTCAGTCTTATAAGCCCATCATCTCCTCTCCTTGAAACTCACATTTGCCCCATGGGAAGTTATCACAAGGTTCTTACTCCAAGATTATCATTAAAGGAGAAAATGGCTCAGTTTGTTTGCTGCAGAGAACAAATCCCAGACAAATCCCTTACTTTTGAGTCAGACCTTTTAAAATAGTATTTTCTGGATTAATGCAGCAATATGATGTGTGATAGTCATTGAAATATTCTGCATATGAAAGTACTGCAGAAAGTAAAGCATTAATTGTAAAAAAATAGTGTTTCTTTATGAAATACATAACCAAACAAGATTCCAAATCAACAGTTTTGTTAACAAAATTATTTGCTTAAGCACAATAATTGCAGAAAACCTTAGCTGACTATCTCTATTTTCATTAAGAACTGAGGAACAGATGTTTTAATTTCTACCTAAACTAATTAACGGGGTACAGACTGTCCAAAGTATTAAAATTCACTTAGGAAAAGTTCCTGATCATGACAGATCTTCAGTATTTGCTCCTGAGAGGCTCTAAATTTAAGCTAGTACAGACACTCTTGGATAGGTAATAACTGTGATAAGAAGGAGAAGGTTTCTAAAAGATACAAATAGTACCTCAGTCTATTAAAATTAAAGCATCCTACAGCTTGCTCATAGGACAGCTCAGCCAGGAGAATTCTCCCTTAGCAGTAACCAGGATATCACTTCTAGGAGAGCTTCCTTCTGGTCAGGGAAGGAGGATTAAAGCAGCTACTACTAATACTTTGGATCAATCCAATATTTATAATGAAAAGGCACTTTCAGTCATCACTGAAGATGCACAGATCAATGAAATCAATGATTTATTCATTCCAGAAGGTGCTGAGGGAGTGCTCAGCTCTGTGAGATGTCACTGAACCTCTGCATACACTTGGCTCAGATGACAGTGAACTTCCTACAGCAAAATCCTTCTGTGATCAACAGCTCTGACACTCCTGTTCTCACAAGCTGACTCACAGTTCCTGTGCCCATGTGTAAGGAACCCTTGACAGACTGGAATGTAACTGCACCTAGAACCTGAGTTAGAGAAAGGCAGGGACTGAGAGGACAATATATCCTGGGGCCTGGCTTAAACCTTTCAGTGCTGATGGAAAGACTATTTTCAACAGCCTGGAGGGACAGGACAGGGGGAATAATGGGTTTAAACTGACAGAGAGGAGGTTTAAAAGAGATAGTAGGAAGCAATTCTTTGCCGTGAGGGTGATGAGACACTGGCACAGGTTGCCCAGAGAAGCTGTGGCTGCTCCATCTCTGGAAGTGTTCCAGGCCAGGGTGGATGAAGCCTTGAGAAACCTGGGCTAGTGGAAGGTGTCCCTGCCCATGGCAGGGGGTGGGACAGGATGGACTTCAAGGTTCTTCGAACCCAAACCAGTCTGGGATTCTGTGATTCTATGAACATTTGAGTCATGAGCTCCTTTAGAGCTCCTCTCTTAAAAATCCATCCACCAGTCTGGAATGAGGTAACTGTTTATGGTGGATTCAGATGGAGTGACAGCTGTCGAGGAAAAGTGACAAGACCTAGGTATGGAAAAATAATTGACCTCCTTAAGTAAATGAACATGCAAACCTCACACACCTGTTTATAGACTCACAGGACTTTCTGTGGCATATTCCCCAAATCAGATTCACTTCAACTCCTGCAGCTCAGCACAGCTTTAAGCTGATTCTATTCCGATACCTCGGGAAACTCAAGGTTCTTGGGGCCCTGGCTGAACTCTGAAAAGCACAATGGGTTGTGTACAGAGCTAAAAATAGCCCAGCTTTACCTAGGATCGCTTGTAATTGAACCATGTAGCCTTCTGAGTGTCAGCATTTGATCCCCTGGTTTTCAGGATGTGGCAGCTGCAGTGAGGAGCCTGCAGACTGTGCCCCATGCTCACTGTGCTCTGTTCCAAGTACTTATAAAGATTTCATAATCCCCAAAGCAGACAATTCATTCCTACTTTTTTTTTTGGTGTTTGCTGTAAATGAATTGGTTATTCCCTGCTGTTTATTCTGAGTTCTGTCCAAGTGTACAACCTGTTGAACCCAGTGGAACGCTGCACTGTTACTTTTCATTACTATGGAAGGAAGCAAAATACTAGCACCTAAGAATTTAAGCCAGGATTGACCTTTTGGTGGAGGAAGGGCTAAGAAGCCATCAACTGGAGATGCAAATGCTGGTTTGGGAGTACAAGGTAGGAAGGTGCTGATTCTTCCACTGCCAAGTCCTGGGAGTGCCATGATGTAAGATGTTAGAGCAAAGTGAGACAGAGAGAAGGTGAGAAATACTGGGTATAGGAGGAAAAGAATGCTTTGAGCTAAGTACAGCTTTTAGATAGGATTAAAAAATCCATTTCAACTCAAGACAATAAAGCTATTTTTAAAAATTCTTCTTTCGTCCATTTAAAAATGGAGAACTAAACGTAAACTGTGTGTGACTGCAACAGGAAAGCTGAGGGAGCTCTTGGCTGTCACAGCACCAAGTGAAGGTTTGTACCTTCTGTCCCCACTGAACCCATGAATTGCAAGAGTGACTCACCATTACATTAATCAGCATTTCCTTTGGTATTGGCTCTAAGCTGGAGTGACAGAGCACTGAACCAGAAAACACAAATCCTGAAGCGTAACATATCAGAAACAGAACTAGAGCACAGGGTTGTCTGGGCAGTGCCGATCCGAGCCCTTCACTGAGGAGAACCTGCTCACATCACTTCTGCTTCATCACCTCTTCCCTACTAGCCCATATGTCTCCTCTATCAGCCCTGGCTTCTCACACCTCCACTGAGGCAGGACTGCTCTGTAACATGCACTTGCGACGTACTTTGAGGGATACAAACCTGTAGTACTGAGGCCCTGTGCAGCATTTTTGGCAGCAAACACTTACAAAGGAATTAAATATCACTATCTCCATTTTGCAGGTGAAGAAACTGTGAGCTTTGAAAAAGAAGTGATCAACAATCATCAAAAATTCAAATCCTTTCCTGGTTTTTAGCCATAGGAAACACCCTTTTACTGCTTTACACAGGGGCCCATGACTACCACTGCAGTACACTTAGTGAAAGTAACAAGAACAGGACACTGATGTATAAATTGGCTTCCTTGGGCCAACAGGCAGAAAGGGTTTTACAAACCAGGAAATGCTTCTTAGGAAAAGACAAAAAGTCCTAATTTTAAACTGATGGTTTTCTCTAAAATGCTCAGTCATTTATCCTTCCCTCTGCAAAATGAAGACTTGAAAATGTTTTTAAAATCAAAAGCAGAACATATTTGAACCAAAAGAACTCAGGTCATGTCCAAAACAGCTCATCTTTTTTCTGTCATGAGCCTCTTCCCTGTGTCAGACAATTAACCTGAGCTTTTCATTAATAAGAATCTTACAAGGTTCCTCCTCATGAAGTTTCCTTCCTGCCTTGTTCTCCTTGAATTTCTATGGGTCAGAGTTTATTGTCCTCCTCAAGAATAGGCACAACATGAATTATTTCTTACCTTACAGTGCATGTGCAGATAATGCAAAACATATGCTGCTGTCTTGGTAATGCATTCTTGTTGATTAATTAAACACTTCTTTCCATCACATGTCATGAAACACAGACTGCCTGTTTCTGCTTTTAGTTTCACTAAAAAACTTGTCAGCCCACTTGGGCTGAAAACCTTGGAGTGGAGAGCAATCTAATGCAGTGGGTTTCTGATGACTGCTACCTATGAGAAATCAACATCTTCATTTTACACGTGTCCATCGCAATACTTCCACCCGTAGTTTTCATCCGTACTTGCTCTACTCTTTAAGACTCCATTAAAACCACACTGATTTTGTGGGACAGGCATATCCTATGGGATTGGGAAGGAAGTTCCTTCTGCAAAGGGTGTTCCCTGTACTGAGTAGTATGGAAACAAACACAAAAACAAAGAAAAAGCAAGCAAAGAGTGTTCCTCTGGACAAATGATGGCAGTGCAAATGAAGACAAAACATGAAAAGATGTATTAAGTCAGAGGATGAAACAGCTAAAACACTCTTTAGTTTAGTGACTGTGCCTGTGAGTACCCTTAGGCTTCTTCCAAACTGAGAAAAATTACTGGCTGAAGAAGTCAGTTTATTTTGCTGACAAACCACTACCAAGCTGCAGCAGCTTATTCTTTGCAAACCTCTGAAGCAGAAAAATCTGAGAAGTGCAGCTGCAAATACAACTTTGCCCGTGCCAGTCACAGTCTGTATGGCAGCTGAACCTCAGGAGGGCCTGGGAAATTGAAGGGTTAAGTAACAACTTCGAGGGGTAATAAATACCACAGGACTAACTGCAACTCTGACAATTACTGGTATAATGCCTTATAGTCATATACAGAGAACAGAAAGCAACACAGACTTGTTATACATCAAAAAATAAAATTAATCTATGTGATTAGGAGTTCATCCTAATCCCTTCATGAATCTTGTTGACTTTTATAGTCAGTTAGTTACTATCACACAACTGTGATGATATTACCATGATTTTCATCCAGAGTCTGGAATGTTAAGAGAGCCCAACACTGAGTCCTTGCAATGGATTAGGGACAATGTGAATGATTGAAATGAATAGTTTGGAAATAGTTACAAATACAGCACCGCTGCACTATAAATGTTGGTGAACATTTGGGAGCACTGGACAGCACTGTACTATCTGCACATTCAAAAAACCATCTTCAAATATGTTAATTTTCGAATTTGATGACAAAAAGATACATTAAAAAAAGCCAGAGGCCAATCTGTAGCAATGCTGAGGCTGTGTGGTGTGACAACATACTATGAAAATGACTAAGATGCTGTAGAAGGAGTTCTTGCAATGTAAAGTTTAAACGATATTGTGAGTTAACAAAACTTGACCTCTCTCTGAAAGGTTTTCTCTTGCTTCTATCACTGTTACATCCCATACCTCATCTCCTGTCAGGACTTCTGAGCCTTCCAACTCATGGGCCTGATTGGTCTTCTGCTGCATCTGCCTCTCCATGCTGGACATCTCTTCCTTGGCAGCCTGAAGTTCTTCTGCCTTGGCTTCCTTTTTCCTGGAAATTATAGATGCCTGCAGGATCAGGGAAGGAAAAATTCCTTGGTTAATATTTATGCAATATATTCTCTTTGCAACGTCACTGAAGTTGGCTGCCGGCTCCCAGATTTCTCCAGCGTGGATGAGATTTCTAGCACACCCTTTTTGCCCAGATTCAAGGTGATATATTTTACATTTTAGATTTACATTTCTTCAGGTCATTTTTTCATTTTCATTGAAGGAAAAGGTATGGATTTGAGCTGCTCCATGTCTTCTGCTCAGTCCCTTTTTGTGCATATGTAAGAGACACCAACATGGCTCAACTGGAAAGTTATCCAAGATTTCACAAATGTCATGATACAGATTTTTATAACTCCAACCTACTCCAACCTACAGAAATATGTTACACTAAAGCAGAACTGAGCCACTAAATCTTGGCAAATAGCTGGGAGATGATGAATAAAGAAATACAGTACAGAAATAGTGTTGATTACAGATTAGTCTCTTTTTTGACTCCAGAAGATAAAGCATTTAAAGAATATTTTACTCAAGACTGAATATTTAATAGCACCTGACTTTTGACCAGAAGCTAACAGATTTGGAAACATAAGAACACATTAGCTTAGGGGAAGCAAAAACCCCACAGTTATATAATGCCAAAGTATCCTATAGAAATACACTTTAAAATAACAACGCATTCATTTAGATGCAAGTGCATGAATTTCGAGGCAAGGTTGGTTTCTTCAAATGAAAGGGAAAACTTCCCAAAAACTGAAGCCAAAACACACTGCCTTTCTCACACTAGGCTGGGAGGACCAGCTTTATTCCTAAAAATATAGCTGACAGCACTGTGCTGGGGTAGGAGCTCAGCACGCTGCTTCACGAGGTATCTGCAGTGACAAACTGTGGTACCACAGAGAGGATTGTTTGTGAAACAGAAGCCAAGCCCTGTCACAAGAAAGCAAAGACCACCACGTGATTTGAGCTCACAGCAGCAACCTCGACTCCTGGGGTGATTCCTCCACTCCACCACAACTCAGTTGGCCTTTGGTACCAGCACATTCCATAGCAGCACTTTCTCTTGGGAAGATCATCTCTTACAAACACAATGATGTGTTTCACTTTGCATTTGTGATCGAACTGCAGTATACATTTTAGCCCAATTTTTTTCCTCCCACTGATACATTTTACTTAAGCCTTTTTATTTTTTAAATCCTCACCATGAGCATCATCATGAAAATCTTCAATAAAATTAGCAGCAGTGCAGGTTGCCTGGAAAAGGAATCACTTAGGTTTCTGGGTAAGCTCTGAAAATCTCCAGGTTCATAAATCCTTTTTATAACTTGTGAATTTACTAAGCCTAGACCAGACAGCCTATTTTGTAGCAAGATTATTTTATAGCCTCAGGATGAAAAATCAAAGAATTCCTTCTTAACAAATGTAACAGGAAAACCAGCATGTGGCCAGGCACAAGGAAGGGATGGAGCTGAAAGCAGCCCTGCATCCAGGGCTGACTGCAGCACACAGCCCTCATGCTGCCTGTTAAGAACCCATCCACAGCTGGAGCTTTACCAAAATAGCTCCTCCAAAATGATCCTTCCAGAATTTCTGTGCAGCAAGGACAGCAGTCAGTACATTCACTGACAGGCCTGAAAGCAATTGCTTGACTCAGTCCTAAACATATGTATGTTCAACAGCTCTTTATTTTCTTCTTGCCCTCCATTATTATGCATTTCTACTGATTCATGGTAAATACCAAGGAAAATATCAGTATGTAAACCAATCAGTGATGGATTTACTCTCCTGCTTCTGCTTAAAATACGTTTTGTTCCTCCTTACCTGCTGGCGATACATGGAGAATTTGCTATCAGTTGGCTCATACTTCCTCATCCTCTTCTCATTAAGCTGATTCATTTGGGCATTGACTTCATTTAACTGCAAGACAGAGGAGAAAACTAAAGAAATGGAGCTTGATTTCTTTGTCTTCTCCAAGAACTAAATGCTTTGCAAGTCAGATTTACAATCCAGCTAGTTCCTTTTTTAAAACAGAGAAACAGACCCAAAAAGCTCCATGAGTCATTAAGTGTTGGCCAGGAAGAGGCTGTAGTTTATGATTTCCAGTTCTGTGCCTTTATGATAAGGCAGAAGCTTGATGTTGGCTCTGAAAATGAAGTAAACTGGTGCATGTGGAGAGAGAAAACGCAGCAAATTGGTGTAGACAGGCAAAATATTGCCACGTGCTGTGTGAAAAATGTCATTTTAGCACTATTAACTAAAATTCCTTTCCACTCAACCATTCAACATAAGTTTAAAGGGGAACAAATAAAGACTAATGGATAAAAATGTCATCCACACTTTGAGGAGTCACAGACCATCATATTCCAGCTCTGTGGTACATTCCTTCCTGTGCCACAAGATGTATTTGGTTGTCCCCAGTCCCAAACTCTTGAGCTGCATTCCAGCCAGAGCTTCAGAGCTGTTGCATCTGGAGCTCACAGCCACTCCAGTGTACAGATTCCTGCTTTCCCAGTACACTGGGACTCTCACCAGCCATGGAAACCACAGCCCTAGCAACCTTCCTTTAATTCTCTGCTCTCCAGATGAGTGCTGATAAGGCAGCAATGTAAATATGTGCTGAAATCCCATGGAGCCAATGCAGGGACAGTGTTGGGCATCACCCTGACAGTTCTGTGACCAATATCCATGTGCCTGGAAAATCAACTGTTTCAAATAAAGTGCTCAATAGGGCTCAAAACACTCCAGCAACTGGAACAAAATCTCCTGTGAATTCTATTCTATTAGGGGAACAACAGGCCTGAATTTGAAAATGGCATAAGAATTCCCTTCAGTGAATACATTCCTGGCTTATAGATTAGAAAATGCATGATGGTAACATGCTTAGAGCGCAGCTCCTTTTTAAGGCACTGAGAATAGAAGGCCGACTTAAAAAAAAAGAAGCTGTGACAACAGCCAAGTGTATGACATGTTTTTATTATCTTTTAAAAAGATACTTCCAAAATATAACAAAGAAAAGGTTAGCTCATGGAGAAAGAGAAAGAACTTGCAGCTTTTTAAGACATTGCCAAAAACGCAACAACACTCTTGGAAAAATGTGCAAAATAGGGTTTCAAGTCTGCCTGAAAGAACTGCAGCCACAAAGATTGTTTTGATTAGAGGAAATAATGGAGGAAAGCAGAGGCTGAATCAGAGTCGGGTTACGATTTCAGCCCTAATCTACCATGTATTACTGCTGTTGTCCCTAATGATGGACACTCTGTTTCCTCACTATCTCTATTTCATAGCAAAGCCCGAGTCAGAGGTCCTAGGAGTACTGAACACCAACTAGTACGAAAAGAAGACATTTAGACTGAACAATGCACTACCAGGATGTAGGACTAGTCTTCCTCGTTAGTTAACATCATTGCAAATCATCATCATCCACAGAAATACTAATAATTAACATTCCCCTAATTTCTTCTAGGACATAATATTCCATATTTAAGCTTTCATTTAGGATTATGCAAATATGACAATTTCATTGACTGGAATATATAAATGTACTTCTGTGGCAACAAATCTCTTTGCACATTTGGGATATATCCTCCAAATAAGGATTTTTGCTCATTCTAAAAACGTTTGCTTTTAACTACTGAAAAAAATCTAGAAAGGTAAATCCAAGGATAGGGTTGGGTTTGGTTTGGGATTGTTTGTTTGTTTGTGGGGTCTTTAAGAAAACAGACTTCTCTGAGTGTTTGCATTAAGTGATTAAGAAATCTCCTTGGGTTTTACAGCTGAAGGGATGTTCTTTTGGGAATGAAACAGTTTCTCAAGGATATTAAAGTAGGGATAAGAGAACTACAGTGTGCAAGAAGCTCAGACTGTGCTACTGGACACAAGTTGTGACCTTGTTCCCCTTACCTCACTTTCCAGTGCAGTGAGATCAGACTGAGTCATTGCTGGCTCTGCAACCACCTTTTGTAACAAATAGACTGAAGTCTTCTTGCTTTCCACCTCTCTGGGTGTTTTCTCACTAACCAGGTAGGAATTGAAATTTATCTCCTCTTCTAGTTTCTTCATTAAACCTTAAAAACAAATGAAATCAGTGTGTGTCTCTAAAAGCAATGTAGTGGATAATTGAGTCTGATTTCCCCAACACATTAAAGTGTTTAGCAGCTGATTACAATAACAACAGCATAACATCTGAGTCTCCTTCTCAGTGCTCAGAGAAAGAGGGAGCTACTGGATTTAAATTTTTAATCTGGATGTTACACAATATAATAGGTATTATTGCGTACCTCAATCTCTAACATAGAACTGTTAACTCCTCAACAGATTCTTTTAATCAATGAACAAGTAAATCCCTTCCTACATGAAACCCCAACCGAATCAGATGCAAAATTCAAGACACAGCACTGATATAAAAAGACATTAAACCTTTATCTGTATAAAAATCATAATTTGGCCTGGCTCATGTATAGATTTGATATATCCTTGGGGATATATTTCCATATGGCATCTAAAAAGGCCTTAAAATGTACAGAGTTTAATCTATGCCAACTTTAAGGGTCTTTTACATTGCTGGAACACTCAGAGATTGCCTCCCTGTAAACAGCCACTACTTGTAAGAACAAGCATTTTAGCTCAGGAAGTTTATAGACTAAGGATGCAGAAAATCACACTCAAATAGAAAAAACAAGAAGGAATTCCTGAGTAATGGCAAAAATCCTGTTGAGAAAATCAACCCTATTTCTAAGTTTTGCTGTTCACAAGCCTGATGCATCTGGATCTTCCATGCTTGCGAGCACTTGGCTCATGCTATGTAGAGTAATTCAGCCTCCTTAACAGCTGATTTATAAATAAACCCAAGTACATACAGATAAGAACAATTCACAGGTAGAAAAGTGCAACAGAGTAAGAGGAAACATCTATTTAAACTACATTGCAGAGTCTCCACTGACAACAGGCAGTTTAGTGCAATTACTTCTCTGAGACAACTATGCCAAGGACTATCAGATTTGGAAGTTACATGTCAGATGAGAATGATCTAGATGGCTAAAAGGTAAATAACCTGGGTTCTTTTTCTTTTTAAAATGACCTGCTGGAATTGGGGCTTTCGGTTCTCTCCATATTTGGGAGAAGATGGAAATGCCATGAAAGGCCAAGAAAAACAGGAAGTTCACAATCTCCATCTCTTTCATATGCTGCACAAGCACAGAAAAGCTTGAGCACAGAGATATAACAGTACAGCTGATGTTGCTGAAACAGAGATGGGAAAGGATGTAGGGGAAAGCAGCTTTGGGTTCTCAGGCTAAAAATCCTGACTGACAAAAGGAGATCAGAACAAAGTAAAACACAGCCCAGGAGAAAGGGCTCCCATTATTCTGCCCCTATATACCTCCAAACCACTGTACTGAGAGACCCTCCTCACCCTCTGCTCCCAGCTCAGCCTGGCAGGAAAGCTGCCAGAGGGGAAATAAGGCATTAGCTCTTGAGAAGGCTTCAAGAACTGGAAGAAAGAAAACAGACTCTAAGGAAAGCAGTGCTGCCAACAAAGTCAACATAAACCAATAATGAGTGGGAATTCCTCTTTTCCAATCTGGTGGATTTCTGTGTTTATGAAAGCAACACTACCACAGGACCTTTTCCCTTTCATGGAGAGGTCATTTATCTTGTGCAAAACAAACAGCCCCAATATTGGTTTTATTCTGCATATGGAATAGCCATCGTGCACTTGGCACTACAGCTACACCCTGAGAACTTACTTGGAGAGATTTCCCACTTCTTCCTTCCAGAAGAACTCAATTCCAATCTTCCTCAGCCCATGACAGAGCTGGGCAGGAGGGATCACATTTTAATGTCTCACTAGAAATCTCCAACCTCTGCAAAGGCAGCAAAGCTGCTTCCCACGTACCCTGTGAGCTATCACCTCAGAAGGGACTAGAACATGACTCCCAGTCTGATACATATACCCAAGATCTTTGGTGTGGAAATCAATGTGATATTGATTACATTATTCTGATATTAAATATTAATATTTTAATTAAATCACATTAATTCCTTGGTTTTCTTAGCAAGAAAAATCTGCATATATAACCTGTACTTTCTTTCTTGTGCTACTCCAGTTGTCTAATAAAAATGTACATGCCTAACGGACTTGTTGTAGATACGACAACAAACTTAGCAAATAACCCCAAGAGCTTTGATAAGAGTAGAGACCTCTTGACTTCACAGCGTATAACCTTGATCACTATCTGATTTATTTCTCAGATAACCTCAGAGCTACTTCCAACTCCTGTTACACCCTGACTGGGTCTGTGCTGTGCTTACTCTTCGTGCAACATGCAACAAAGCGAGTTAAAACTTGACATCTTGATGGGGAAAGACATGATGATGTCAACATTCCTCCTGACTAATGCAGTCTCTTTCCTATATACTTTGGATATATTTTTCCTCCTATACAATTCAACATATGGAGAAATAACTACCCAAGAGCTACTTTTGCTGCTTACAGAACCTTAAAACCCAAAACACAGAGCAGCTCTTGTTTTGTTTGGGGTTTTTTTCAGTGAAAAACATTCTTTTGCAAATTCCCAGGCTAGAGGGGAAAAAAAAAGACAGCATACTTCAAATCTTTCCATTACACACATAAGTTCTGTTTTTAAAGTTTCAACATTGACTTATGGTTACAAAATCTCCACACATAAGCGGCACTGAAATCTGGCGCTGTGCCCTAAGGTTATTTTAACAAGGGTCTGCCAACCACGTATTTACATGTGGAGAGCTATTCACAGCAACTCCTCATGTTTTCCATTCACATTTTTTTCTTATTACAAAGAGAGGGATGGGAGAAAAGAGTTTATTCCTGCTTGCTCAGTCACGTAGAAGAGAGGCCAATTTTCTCAGCATAATTCTGCTAATGGACCTAAAACTTGATTCACCTTGTGCTCAGATTCTCACTTCTTTCCCCTCTCCAGGCTACTAGTTGGGCATCCTGGACCAGAACCATTTGGAACAGGAATTCATCTTCTAAAAGCGGGGGAAAAAAGAGAGGGGCACTTGTTTTATATCCTCTCTGCCAACACTTTAGTATCACATCAGAAGGCCACAACAAAGGCATGTCTAGAACAGACTTTCAACATCAAACCCTTCCCCTTCCTTTCTGCAGTCAACCTCAGAGAGGACTGAATTGATTCCCTCCACAGCTTCCAGGGATATCACTTCCAATTTCTCTCTGTTAAAGAGGCTTGGGACATGGAAACGCTGACAGATCAATTAACCCTTCGAAATATCCTTGAAAAACTAAAAAGCTTCCTGAATTGGTCATTTTAAGTTATACTTTCCATGTTTATAATTATTCTCAGTGCTCTCTGAAACCTCCCTGACCTTTCAGTGCTCTTCTTGAATGCTGAATTGACACAGGGCTGCAGTGACGGATGTATCAGAGCCAAAAGCAGAGGCAATGCAACTCTCCTCTTGCATTTTCTTCCAGATATAATATAAAAGCACAGAGAGCACCACATCCATGGCACTGGGACCTCTATTTCTACGCTTGACCCACAAGTCCTTTTCAGAGTCACTTCTCAGGAACGATTCCCACATGCTATAAATACATTTCACATACATTATTCCTAGAGGAATACAGTGGAATTTGGCTATTCCTTAAAATGTATACTATTGGCATAGGATTGACTTCCTAAGGGATTACAATCTCTTCAAATCAAAAGTCTCCTCATTACTCAGTCATTTCCCTGTTTTCATTTCACCTGGACATTTCACCAGGGATCACTTGCTGTGTTCTTGGAGGAATCTGCTGTAAATACTAAACAAAAAAGAGCCAAGCAGTGATTTCTGCACATCCTGACTAGAAACACACCCACTCAGTGATGATTCAGTTTCTTTCTAAAACTTCCACTGAACTCCTTTTAACAGAGGTCATGTTGAATTTTTGCTGTCTTGTTTGTTCTTTAAAATGAGGTGCAGGAGTCAATGACCTTAAAAAAGTCAACCACAGCAACACTATCAATCTCACCAGCCAGACTTGTATTCTCTCACAGATATCAAGTTATCCTAACAGTACTTTACCCAGACCTTACATCAATCGACAGTGACTCTAATAAATAAAATCATTTAAAGATGAAGTTCCACCTAAGCCACTCTCCTTGGCCAAACACTTCTATAACTGTAAGTGTAATG